GAAACTTACTGAAAACGTTCGTTGGTTATGTTTTCATGAAAATAAGGGGTTCTTTACTCGTGAAAAAGACGATGTATTTCTTTAAAATAAACTTGAGTGTGTTCTTTCATTCGTATAGACAAAGTCTGACAAGCAGTAAACGACTGACGCAGTTTGTTTATTGTTAGTCATTGGTTTTTTCCAACTTTTAAAAGAAACAGAACACATGAATACTTAGGTGAAGCGAAGCTGAGTCACTGCGTGTTGATAGTCATGTGATGTTGTTGTCATAGGAAGAAAGTATACTTAATGTTGTTAAATCTTCTGTTTTATTCTTCTCATCAGTTATCTCGAAATAAGATGAAAAAAAATTCTTTTCGTTGTCTTCGTTACGTATTGTGTCGCAAATATAGCGAGAATTGAGCAAATAGGAACGTGTCGCCACTGCTTCTTGTTAGATTATAGCAATCTTCCTCCACTTCAGACAATTCATAAAGGTTATTCAATACAGAATTACAATAGTCGAAAAACAAGCAAGTTTCTCTATGTTAGGAAAAACTTGTAGTATGAGCAAAGGTATATTCGTAAAGGTTCACTTTGGACACACAAAATATAAAAGTAATATGGGAGAAATCAAAGGTATAAATAGAAAGACACTATTTAAGATTTCGAAATAGTTTAGCAAAAAGTAAAAACTTAGCAAAGATATGATTAGTACGAAACAAAATGGAAAATTTACATCGAAGATAAAAATCAATATTTTCTTTTTGAAAAAAAAAGGAATTATGCTCAAGATCAGATGCAGTGAGCGCATAAGAAAACATCAAGCATGGCATATTTTTATATATAATTTTTTACCATTTTGTAGCGCTTTGCGAGCTCTATCTACTCTGAGAAAATGGTTGTTGTTCAACGACTTTGAGTTTCGATCACATCATTCATGGAGTATTTTTTAGAGTATAATATTAATGTCAGAATGATTATGAATTTATCCACGGAATCATTTGATTTTTCAATAAAACAATGAGGGATTTAATTTTCATAATGAAATGTGATTGAATAGATGACGAAAAGGAAATTTAATTGAATAACGTGCTCTTTCGTATTAATTGTATTCAAGCTATAAATCAATATCTTGCAATGACAATAAACGAAAATAATTTTTCATGAAGAATTTATATATTTGATATATTAACAATGAATAAAATACCTTGTCGTAGAAGAATTGAACAAGAGAATTATTAAAGTAATTGATCGGATTAATATTTCCTATTGATCATTATTAATAGTTGTTTGCTGATGGTGATTAAGGTTTAGTTTTAATTGATCAAACTAATTAACAAGAGTATAAACAAGACGATATTATGAAATTAGCTTGTAATATTTGTTTGGTTGGTAATAGAAATAGTAAAATACATTCTTCAATTATTGTTCAATGATATGTCATCATTGCAAATTTTAGTATTAACTTATTATAGTTTTGAAAATCAATGTGATACAAAACAATTCAATTTTTATAAATATTGATAAGTAACCCAGTTTATTTGTTGGTTCTATATTGAACTATAAAAATTATATTTTTATTGGTAGATTTAACAGAACAAATTGATACTATCTCATGACATTTTTTAAACTTTTCTCATTGATGATTTTGTTTAGATTACTAGATGCTTTTTTTTTCACCAATATATCTTTTTTTTAACTCTTAAGCAACTTTTATTGCAATAAATAACTAGATAATATTGATATTACATCAGTAAAATTAGCACTAGATTCGATATTTCCTGTTTGGATTGGTTTTCTTATCTGTGCTATTGCTCCAGTTGGTTGCGTCGGATGCAGAATTTGATTCCGAATTCCATGGTCCTATTTTGAAAGGAGATCATCGCGGGAAAAAATGGCGTTTTACAGGCAAAAACAGTTTTCTGTAGATTTTGGCTCGATATTTCTTGTCTGAATTCGTTTCCCATCCTGTGCTATTGTTATCGAGAGCTGTGTTGGACGCAGAGGTTTATGCTGAATCCAATGGTACTATTATCAAAGGAGGTCATGTGGCAAAAAATGGGACTTTCTCTGGAAAAGTCGATATTGGAGGATATAGATGTGCGTGTGAGTGTGGTTTCTCTATTTAGCCATCCACATCCACGCCCATACGCCCACACTCTCACTAAAAAACACTATTTAAAGGCTCAATATGTAATAAATGTTACAAGTAGAGATGGAATTATTTTTATTATCCGACTCGATATCAAACTGATGAATACTCATGAGTATGAAAATCGAACTCCTCGCAAAAAGAATCATTTTTGAACGATCAGACCGTTTCAAAGACCAGCTTTCTATGATACGAATCAGAGATTTTTAAAATTAACAACCAAAGGGTTATGTTATCACATCTTTAAACAAACTATACATGAAAAAAATGAAATCTGTGCGACAATTAAGAGTGAACACAGTTCTTGAATATGAATTATTTCTACTTGCTTGATACATTTCAGTCATCGCCACTCTCTTAGCCACCTCCGCATCCTCCACCTCCACATCCTCCACCTCCACAGCCTCCGCCTCCTCCGCCACAACTTCCGCCACCTCCGCCACCACAGCTACCACCGCCACCGCCACCACCACCACATCCTCCACCTCCGCCACAGCCGCCACCACCACCACCACCACCACCACCGTCACAACCTCCGCCTCCACAACCCGATCCGCAACCACCCCCAATCGCTCCACATGAAGATGCTCCATAATTACCCGCAATGAAAATTGGTACGAAGACCATTGCACATGAACTCGTATATTGTGATGTTTCTACTTTTTTTCGATCAATATTGGAGCCATATTTTGATTGATAATTGTTTTCCCATCGTTCAGCAGTTTTCTTATAAGCATTTTTCAGTGTATTTGACTCAATATCATCATTATGATCAACAATAAAACCACATAAAGCTGTAGAAACGGTTTGATATTGTGATGGATATCTCATATGTGTATGCCAGATCACATCAATATCAAAAGTTGGCACAATCATTTCGTCTTTTTGAGCTAATTTCATAAATGATATATAATTTTGTACTAAATTTTCGAATTGCCAACGATTAAACTTTTTCAAGTCGGATAAATAGAGATAATGTTTTTGAAATTTTTCAAGAAAGTCCCGTTGATTAAAGACGGCTTTTTTTAAATCAATTGTTGGAACGAAAAAAAAACGTGTTGTGATGGATGGAAATGATACCTTTGAATTGTGGTTGTTTTTATGCTTATGAAGAAGTTGACGAACTTTTTTATCAACTAATTCTCCATCTGGAAGTTGTTTAGTACAATCAGCCTGATAGTTTAAAGGATGAAGACGGTGAACGTGCCAAATCCATTCAGTTTGCCATGGGAGTTTCATTTGTTGATTTGCGGTTTTCATTTCTTGTCGTGCCATTCGGTTACAATAATCATTCACATAATAATCCAACAGAGGTCCTTCTTGCATCATTTCTGGATGAGTAATCACTTTGCGAAGCAACAAGATGTGATCAACCAAGTCATGATACGAGATTCGAAACTTTTCTCCATCTTTCGTTCGAATTCTTGCATCGAAATTCGGGATTGAATGTGATGATACACTACCCATTTTCTTGTCAATGTTGCTGTTCAATTATTTTGACGTATCACCTTCAAAAGATGAATTCTATCGATTTTATATAATACTATATTTACGTAGTCATCTGAAACAATGACATAAGACACTTGATAACGATTTTAATAAGTTATTTTCTGTTCTCTAATAGAAAAGAGCGTAAGGTGCGTGAGAAAAATATGCAACAGAAAACGAATTATTCGACTTGCTACAGTAAGTTAAACATTACTTCTCGTAAGGTTTTTTTTTTATAACTGATTATTTCTTTCCTTCTTATTCTGCTCCCTGCGACACAAAAGAATATGCTAAGAAACATGAAACGCATCAAGAAAGAGGAAAAAAACAACAAGCAGCCATGATGAGAGGCAATAATGATGAATCATTGCTCGTGAACTCATGACATCTTTTATACAGCAATTGAAATTGTTTTCAAACGTCACATTTATAGTTGACATCGAAAGAAAGAGGAAGTATACAGCATAAAAAAGGGTGTGGGTGTGGGTGGCTGTGGGTTTATGCGGTCTGATTGTAGGTGTGACTGTTGTTTTACAAGAAGATCTATAGGTGGCTCACATCCACATTCACACCTCATTCAAAATACACGTCCCCAATATATAACGATATGTTAAAAAGAAAATGTGAGAAGAGAAAAAGAATAAATAAAATAATATTTGTCGATGTTCTTGCATTGTTGACGGCAAACACAGGGCAACCAATTCACTCACGTGCTCCTTCTTGTTCTTTTTGTGGAGATCGGGCCAATACGATTCTCCGTTTATTAGAAAAAGCTGTATCGTTGCACAGAACGACAAAAACAATGAAAACAGAAACAGTGTATCTTTGCTGTTTATTAACTTTTTCTTTTTAAACGGATTATATGGGTATGTTTTTTGGTTTTCTTTTTCATGTTTGCCTTTTTTCTTCTGCTAAAAGACTATTGCATAATAAGTAATCATGGTTTTTTCCTTGTTTTGTGTCCGCGATTGCATAGACGGACAGAAGGCGATTGCATAATCGTTTCATGAGGTATGTAACTGCGCTTGCGAATAAATGAATTATTATTCTTATCTGTCAGTAACTTGTCGTTGGACACCATTTCATCAGGTCAGAGATATATTATTTATCGGCGTTGTCTTTTCAAACGAAAGTGAAGCACAGCTTATCACATGAATGAAAAATAAGTATACCAATGAATATTATTAAACTTTTAAGGAACATATCTCTTCAGTTGATTATTACTAATTCTGCTTCACATCGAATACGCTCATGTTGTGTAGGCGGTACATGATCGGATCAGTTCCCAGGTTCAACAATACCGGCCGATTTCGGCAGGAAAACATGGAAGCAGAGTTTTCGCCTGAAGTCTTCGAATTTTTTTAATGCTTTTTCGGTGTTTCTCTGTCGAACACAATAAGTATCTCCGCATGTTTCCGGCTGCTTGAAGTGAAATCCGATTCCTTTCCGTGATCGGAAGCCTTGACCCCCGACTATGCTCTGTCCTTAAAATAGAGTAACAAACCCTCCTGAAATCTGATTAGCTGCTAGCTTCTTCATATCCACTAATCTGATTTCAGCAAAGCTCACCACTCATTCTCCGTTTTATTTTGCGCGCACACATATGTATAAGTGTGTCAAATGATAATTGAGGAAGATATAACAATACTTCAAAACGTAAGTGAAAACCGGAGAACTTCCTGTTGTTTTTCAACATTGTAAAGGAAAAATATAACCTCGATCGGGTCAATGCGCTGATCTTCTAAGGCCCTCTTCCATATGATCCGAACAACACTATGTATTGTGTTCACAATCTAACAGAAAAACACTTCTGAAATATGATTAGCTGGAAGTATTTTATATGAACTAACCAGATTTCAAGAGGGTTTTTCTTCTCTATTGTAAGCACAAAACATAGCCTTGCTGGGGCCAATTTGAAGATTACTTGAAGTCCTCGTTCATTTGACTCGAACAACCTCATGTTTTGTCCTTACAATAGGATTCAAATAGCTTGGGCAAGGATGTGAGTGTGTGTAACTGGAAGTATGACTATGGCAGAGTGTAAGCGTTTGTAGATCTCTATATTGGTTAGGCTGGGAGTGATGGTGAGTGTGGGTCACCGATCGGTTTCTACGAGGCTATGAATGTGGATTGGTGTCGCAGTTTATGAGGCTTTAAGTCGAGATGGGTCTTATGATCGGTGTTGGTGTGGATGAGACTTTGAGAGGAAGTGGGTGTTCTACCTTGGTGCTACGCATCCAAAAAAACAGCAGTGATGAAAACTGTCACATTGAGAGTCAGGCTGAGAGCAGCTTATGTGGCATCATGCGCATCGTGTCGCATCGGTTTTTGTATATTAAACACATACTTGCGTGGCAATCTGATGTGGGATATGACGTTTTACAGTTGCATTCACTGGCAACATTGCGTCGCCTGAATGAGGCCGGATACTACGAGTTCTACTGGTATTTCACAGCTGGTTAGTTTGTTTTTCCATTGAGTTTGCGGTGCTTCTCTAATCGGATGCGGTGAAGTTCAGATTTATTTCCTGTTTTTGGGATATCGTGGAAAAACCTCCGTTTCCAGTACGATGTTTTTCCGATGGGAATACTACTTCCATGTTTCGAGTATTTTTCCTGTCGTTTCTGGCCGATTCGATCGATATTACGGTCAATGAATAGAAAGATGTGACCGAAATTGTATGAATCGGGTGGACTCATCACAATCTTAGAAAACTTTCATTTTTTTCCAAGTGGAGTTTCAGCCATGTTTGTTTTTTTGCTAACTGACTCTCAACAGAAAGCACTCGAATCTCATACCGCATCTCGTTAAGGTAGCCAGATTAAGCAAAAAAAATATTTCAATCGACTTTCGCAGTCATCAAAGTATCAATTCTCTCAATGCTGATGACTTTAATACATCCATCTGAATAAGTTCAATAGATTATAGACCTTTGCAGGTTTCTTCGATCGAGAATATAAGAACTCAACGATTAATTGCTTTTATTCCCACATGAGTCATATCCACATGAATGAAAAAAAAATAATACGATGGTTCTATTTTAAATAGGTAGTGCTTCGGTATCTAATGAAAGGTTTCATTTTCAGATTACTGCACTGCGTGCATACACTGGATAATATGAACGATCTCCGAGATGAACAGCTTTTCCTCGATGAGGATACCGAAAAATGCAGTGAAGAAGATCAAATTGCTGAGCAACCCGATCAAGATAACACATCAACTGAAACAAAAGAAACGGACTTACCATCAGTCATTCTATGTAAATATTAGATAAAAGTTCTCGATTCAAGAGTCGACTGTAAAAAAACATGCTCGTCTATATTGTTGATTTTAGCTGATGAAATACAAAGTATAAGCCAATCGGATAATAATGACAGAAATGGGTACACAGAATCTGCCTTACTCAGTGCAGCAACATCGTCTAACGATTTTGAGAGTTCACAAACCATCGAATTTAGTAAGCTTCGAAGAAATAGTCTTGCAAGAACATTAAAATCCATACATCTAATCTGTTTTAGGTTCAATAATCATAGATTATACCAATGTTTCTCATGCAGTTGAACCGTTTGATTCTGTTATTGAGACGCCATCAGAGAAGTTGTCGATCAAAAGCACGACTAGCAAACGAAGTAAGAATCTTTAACATCTCAACTTTAGAATGTTTGGTCATGTGGTATACAAAAAAATTCATGAAAATTATCCTTTCGATTTCTGAGATATTAAAACTGATGGTATGAGTGATAATTTAACTCCGACTCATGTTACACTTCTTAGTCGATCAAAGACAAATAGTCTTATTCAGTAAATGTTTCTCTAAAAAATAGGATATCAATATATCATTTACAAGGGATAATCAATAAAGACAGAACTAGGGGTGCAACAAATCTTGCACAGATTTGGGATTTGTGACCAAATCCTTTGGATTTGGATTCGGGTTTGGATTTGGACTAAGGATTGTACCTATGTTTGAGATTTGGGATTTGGATTTGGATTTGGGATTGGGATTGGGGTATGAGATTTGGATTTGGCATTGGGTTTGTGTATAGGATTTGGATTTGGATTTGGGATTTGTGTACAAGACTTGGATTTGGTTATTGGATTTGTGTATTTTAAGATTTGGATTTGTCTTTGAGATTTGTAAAAACCATAGAAGTGGTTCTAGATTTAACTGTTCATATACATATCTTTATTCGTATATTGCATTCACTGCAATAAGGAGGAAAATCCTAAGAGCATTATATGGGGTACTCTTAGCCTGTCAAAGGTTACCCTATGGGGGGAGAGAAGAGTACCCGATGGTCCAGAAGACTTATTATATGGAGCATCCGTAGGCTCTCAATGATTATCTTATGAGGGTATCTATGAGCTCTCAATGGCTATATTTGGGGATACCCGTGGGTCCTGAAGGTGTATTATATGGGGCCATTCATGGGCCCTGAAAAGGTATCCTATGGGCATACCCATAGGTCCTCAAGCGCCAACCTGTGGCAGTATCAATAGGTCATTAAAGGCTATTATATGCGGGTATCTATGAGTTCTCGAGAGCTATCTTATGAGGATACCCGTAGGTACTGAAGAGTCATTAAATTGGAGGCCTGTAGGTCCTCAAGGGCAGTCCTACGAAGGTATCCCATAGTCTCTCAGGAACTATTATATGGGGATACACATAAATCCTGAAGGGAGTAAAGCAATAATGGGATGATGCTACAAGAGCTACAAGAGAATATAAGACTGAGTCGGAAAGCTAATGAAGTATAGAAAACGTGTCATATAAGAGTATGAGGCCGTAAGTTATCAATATACACAATGTGGAGTATTTATATGATTCTTACTGCGTGAAAGACTAAAGCTTTGAGGTCATACATTAGATGACAAAACAACCGTGCAATATGCACTGGCTCATGCTTGTAAAAATTTATAAAGCGCTAAATGTTTCCCACACTGCAAAACAATAAGTGCCACATTAGTCATAATTTTAGATGGGACAACGCCTTAGAATATATTGAACAAGATGATCAGCCTAGTCAAAGACCTTTTCATAGCGGCATATAGCAAAATGTGAGTATTTCTAGCCCATGTTCAGGTTCGTTTTGGTGAAGAAAGTGTTTTCATGTTACTCGAATGCTTAGGATCTTGAATACATTAAGCAGATTTCCGTCTGTGTCTCTCTCAGACCTATTATACACTTCGAAACTCAAATCCAACTTTGCTGGAATCCAGGTCATCGTTCTTGCACACCATAAAAGACCCTGAAAACTCTTTTTTACCTTGTACAATTTATTTTTGAACATTGGAAATAACGTTGAACGGAAACTGACTGCGTATTACCTGAAAGACATCAAATAGAAAGAAAAAGGAAAAAAACCAAAGAAAGCTGCACCGAACTAACGGTCAAAGCCAAACAGTATGAAAAAAGCTATTATACATTTCAAAACAGAAAAGCAGTGGGAATTGCTCGAATAACTTTCGGTTGAAAATAGGTGTGGACCTGCAGCCTTCACTGTTGGAAAGAGGGGATGAGAATGCATCGACTCGTGTATTACAGAATTTACTGGAAAGTGTTTTGCGAGTTTCTATCGAATTTTTTCAAAATATATGTACGTCTGAGCTGGATTAATACAATAAATTTTCATTGAAATATAGCGGAAAAACTTGTTAGCGCAGCTCCTGTGGAGCTGAAATGTGAAACTCACATATATCCTTAAATCTTAATACTCTAATACATTATATGTAAACTGAAAAATTTCGTGTACACTGTAGCTGTTTGCATTGATAATCAATGACACGAGCGAGACTTTTTCCTTATTTCTACATTTAAATCAGAACATTTTTTTTGTTTGAGAGCGCCCGATTTTAATTTTGCATTGTTGCTATTCACTCGTTATCTTTCATTTTTTTAATTCGTTTTTCATAATTCAACATTCTTATTATTATAATACTTGAATTAATTGGCAAATAAATCTGTTTTATATATCGATGATATCCACAGAAGATCTTACGCACTATTATATGTATTAATCAGCTCACAAACAATGATGTTGATTATCTTTCAAAATTGTTACTCGATCAATTTTTTGAAAAAAGCTAGAAAGTCTAACGCCTCTTATTCTTAATTGCTAAGGTCTGTAATGGGAAGGTGTTGGCAATGGGGAGGGGATATCTGTAATGGGATCCTACGAAACTATATGTCTAAAATGGAGAGGGGAGGAGTAGGGTGTGGGTGTGGGTTTGGGTGTGGGTGGGGGCATGGGTGTGGGTGTGGGTTTGGGTGTGGGTGGGGGCATGGGTGTGGATGTGGGTAAGGGTGTAGGTATTAGTAGGGAGAACACCCACACCCACGCCCACGCTCACACCCACACCCACACCCACACCCACACCCACGCTCGCACCCACGCCCACGCTCACACCCCACACCCACGCCCACGCTCGCACCCACACCCACACCCACACCCTAGTTCAACAAATGAAACATTATAGCGTAGTCAAAAGTATACAAATCCAAAGTATTTATACGATGCGACAACTCTGAAAGAACAATTCGAACTAAAGTCATATTAAGAGGTTTTATAACTTAATCCATCATATAACCTTTTCCAATATTAACAATTATAGATAAATGATAAAGAAACTAAGGAACTAAAAACAATCCATCACTAAAGACATTTGGTCTTATTAGATTCTCTAAAACTCAAGTTTGAGTATCTGTGAAACCAGATTATTCTGCTACTGGTTCTGGTTCCGACCCCACTAAAACATATTGCGCACTAGTCTAGATCCAGATTTAGCTTCGGAGAAAACTATTTTGAAGCCTATTCATTCCACGCCTAAAGTTACTCTGAAACACGTATTTCCTCATTTGGATAATTTATTTTGAATTATGTTCGCGTCCACATGATTTATAATATTATTTGTTTGAAGTCGTAGAATTTTTTACTCTAAAGATGAGTTCCGATTAGTGATCTACAAAGTCATATTCTTTGGTTCCAATCAAAATTAAAAATTTGGTTTTGATCTCAGTGTCACCAAGACTAGTGTTGGGACCGAACTCAGAGGATGGATGGAAAAAGGCAGAAAGGAAAGATATCGAAAGAAAAAAATATCGAAAATAAAAATGTCGACGACAACAATATGAGGTGAAAATGAACGTAGAAGATTGAAGGTGGGAATGATGGAGATTTCTACTTCTATATACTCTTATTTTCAGCATTTTTATCCATCTAAATTTGTATTATTTCTGCTTTCGATATTTTTATTTTTGATAATTTTCTCTTTCGATATTTCAGCTTTCTGCCTTTTTCCATCATACCATATCCCCTGTCTCTAGTTATAATTTATTTGGGATCCGGTTCCGTTTCATTGAGAGCTCCGAAATAATTATTTGATCTTGTCTTTTCATTAGAACTTGCTGCATCAATCATTTAGACAAAAAAAAATATTATAATATGGAGAAAAATATTTTAAGCAGAGGCATGAGAACATGGCTCGGTAGCTCATAAGCTTATGGTAACGAAACACTGTTTAGACTTTCTTTTGACTAATTAACTTTATAATTTTATTGAGATATTCTTCTGTTAGATAAGAACTTTTGCATAATTTTCTGAACCTCTTCTCAAAAAAAGTGCCAGTGAGGTAGATTGATCATGTTGCTCACATAACGGAAAGATAAGTTTGTTTTTTTATTTGTATTACAAGATGCTAGTATGACAGTAAAAAATTGATTTATGATATAAGAGAAATTCACTCGAAAATCGCCAGAGTAAAGAACATCATTTAGTCTCGGAATCCAATCTCGGTCCCGTTAAAGTTTGTTCTGGTTCCCCATTGAATTCCAGTAAAACGTAAATTTTTTATTTGGGTCTCGACACCATGAGCGTGATCAGAACTGGTTCTGCACATTTCTACTCAAGTTACTTCAGATTCAAGCCAAATCCAAACCCAAATCTCAGCCCAAATCCTATATACCAAATCCAAATCCAAATCCTAAGCACCAATTCCAAACCCAAGTCTTCCATACCAAATCCAAATCCAAACCCAAATCTATAACAAATCTAAACGATTTCATATCGAATTTGAAGGCTCTGTACTTATTTCACCCTTGTGGCTCATTATTGTACAGATTCAAGTTGAATTTGGGTACTTTAAGATCAAATCCAAATCCAAATCCAAATCCAAATCCAAAGTCAAAATGAAAACCAAATCTTTCCATGCCAAATCCCAAGGCTTTGGATTTGTTGCACCCCTAGACAGAACCTTGAAATTCCAGTTCAGTATATATTTTCATAATTATATCCTACACCAATAAATCATGTCATGAATTTGAAAAGTATCAGTTATTTAATTCATCATTTACAATGTGCTTTAGATGTTGTATATGCTATTCAATTTTAGAAAGCAAACACTCAGATTTTTTTATTGAGATAGTAGAAGAAGAGAAATCGATTAAATGCAGGTAAAACATTTCGATTGAGTGAATTCTTTTCTTTTGATCTTGTTTTTAGTTGGGATGCACCGAAAGACTCAACCGAGCTCAACTTTAACAACCAAAAGATCAAAGTCACCGTAGAAGATTTAGATATCGTTGAATCCGTCGGTGAAGGGCACTTTGGTTCAGTGGAGAGCGTCACAATAAAGAAATATCCTGATACTTTTATGGCAGTCAAAGTATGTAATTTTGACGAAGAAATATCCCGATTGTCCAAGTGACATTGAATGCTATTTGTACGTTACGCAGCTACTTTGAAGCTCGTTTAGATTTCCTTTACGTGATGGTAAAAGTTTATCCTCCAATAGGATACACGAATATTTTGCTGATAATCAATAGCGAGAGAAAAAATAATTAAACTTAATCCGACAATGTTGTAGTGTCTCTAAGTAGAGAAATTCCCAAGAGAAATGTCTACATTAGTAATTAGATGAATGCTGTATGAGAAAAGATATTTATTTTGTAGCGTATTTCGCTTTCAACAAAAGAAGAATGGGCTTCTGTAACAACTACTGAACTGAAAATGATGGAAGAAGTTGGTAACGGTGACTGTCCATATCTTATCAACTACTATGGTTCAATGATTGATACAGTAAGTAAAGATTCATCTCACTTTTGTAGTATTATTATATTCTTTTTTAAGATCTATAGTGAACTTTGTATATTCATGGAGTACATGGATACAACACTGAGCAGATTCTATGAAACTATGCATCTACTGGGAAACATTAATCCTAACAATCTTGATTTTCTTCTACGTCGAGTGATTCACAATGTAAAGACTACTTTCATTAGTTTTCTAGTCATTCATTCTATCTTATGCAGATTGCTTCGGCACTCCAATTTTTGGCTGAAAGACACTATCTTCATCGAGATATCAAACCAGATAATATACTTGTCAACAATGATGGGGTGTTTAAACTAAATGATTATGGCACTTGTTGCGAAATGAATGAAATGGGTTTGGCGCAAAGTAGTCCTATAGGCACCATTGCCTATTTTTCACCTGAACTTGTGAGAGATCCACCTGCGCCAAGCACTATTCAAGGTGATATGTGGGCTTTAGGTATTAGTTTGATCGAAACTATCATTGGCGAACATCCATGTGCTGTTTCAAACTACACTGAACGATTATCAACACTCTCAACGTGGAATCGCGAAATTCTCGAAGGTATGATACCTGACGATATCCGAGAGTTTATTTTACAGTTGTAAGTAATTCTACTTTAAATATCATTCTAATCATCATACTTTTGTTTGCTGCTGTTAGATTGGCAATAGAAGCTGAACAGCGGCCTGATTCTTATGCTGTTTTTTAATGATACGGCGACCACCGAGATCTACACAACGAACCAACAGATGGTCGATATATTTTTATTATTACCATAATTCGAATTATTCATGAATCTGACACTTAACAATTATGAATCGATATTGTGTTATTGATGCAACGAAATTTTTACTGAGTCGCACTGAATCTGAACAACTAGAAATATACATAAAAAGAATAAACGGTACTTATATTATTTTTGACATTTGATTTCAATTAATCATGAGTGAAGCGTCGAGAAGTTGTCCAATATGTATGAATCTATGCTATATCGTTTGTTAGTTTTTTCTCCTAATTCTCATGTGCCTGAATATCTAACGAATGACAGAATTACTCTTATACTGTCATGCATGTTGATGATTTTCTGTATCGTTTTCATTCAATATACATGTACACGATTGTTATTTCTTCTGAGCGTTTTTATATTATCTTATTCTCATTAATGTCTTCTTCTGCATTTACAAAGTTATTTGTATCGAATAAAACTAAACTCGCATGCTCAAAGCTAATAAAGCTTACAGAAAACTGTGCTTTTAATATTCTCAACATTTTTTTTTGTATTAATCTGAGTTTCTCGAATTTGTTTATTTAGAAAATATTTCTTACAGTATGTTTTTAGGCTAGAGAAAGAAGCAAGAATTAAAAAGGCGACTCAGTCACTGTCGAACAGTTGCATTTAGTCAAAACAAACACTATTCGGTAATCTTCAGTTTGTTCAACAGTGGCTGATTTTGTGGCCATATATATTATCAAACTTGAACATTGACTACGAGCATATCTTTACGTACTATTCATAAAGCTCACTCATTTTGGTCAAGGAGGACCGTTTTCTGCCATCCATACTGAAACAGTGAAGACAAGAGAAACGCCTGGGCAGATACTGCATGCAAGGTGTAAATGACAAAAATCTTTCAACAATGGTCGTCGTCTTTAGATATCCCAATGAATTGTTTATTTCTGGATCGTGAGTACTAATGTCCTACTGGTTTCATTTCTGACTGTGCTCGATTGTGTTTGATTAGATTTTTTTCATAATGACAAAGACATGACTTCATTCTGTCGTTTATGATACTCTTTTGGTTATAGCTTCATCATTCATTACTATTTGGTTGTTAATATGAATCGATCTATAATTGACATTCAGAACATGTTCTCGCTTCGTCAGATATAAATATTTGTTATTTTCTAATATAACTTTATCTTGCTTGTAAATCTACATTTCTTTGTCTACAAAGGTAAGGATGTGACATACTACTTGCTGGAATACTTAGAAAGAAAACAATATCGATTCTCAGCAAAGAGAATTTATTTAAAATAGTAGAAAACAAATTTTAGTTCAAACGTCTTATGTCTTAAATATATTGTCAGTTGATCTTTTTAATTCTTAGAAGTTGGATATAAGTTAAAATGAGAAACCCAACAGTCATAATTGACAAGCTCAGGTAATTTTTCATAAATTCCCAATCGATCGTATAATTCAAGTCGCTTTCATTCACAACTTCTTATCCTGTTAATGGACAAATATTTGTATCATTTGCTAAACGCAGCTACTTGAAAATACTTTTCAATGCAATTAAATAACCATCGAAGATCATCATTACCAAAAGGATAAGCATGACAACAATCAAGGCAACATCTAAAAAGAAATAGATAATGACACCAATGTGCTATTCTTCACTATGAAATCTTTTTCTAAGAAAAATTTCTTTGTAACATCGTATTTAAAACTTCTTGTCTAATTTTTAAAACGGTAAATCATAGATTCACACTATTGTCGGCGCCAGAATTAAGTGTATGTTGGTAGAAGACGAATATCTTGAGGAGGGTAATAGCTATCAATCTGCAGTTTTCACCAATCGAAAGATGTTACGTTAGGATATATTTTGAAATAATATTATGCAAGGTGAAATCATAACCTAATCAATCGTTTTTGAAAATCTTTCCGAAATATGTATAATAATGCAATATAGTTCCAATAAAATTTTCATTCTGACATGTATGTTAGATAGAGAGACTTCAACTCTATAGTTCAAGACACAAAGCGAATGGTTATCTTCTCACTTTCTACCGTTGAGCAAATGAATTCGGTCATTTGTCTACCAAAATCAATGGAAATTGCGTCGATTTTTAAGCAAACTTTCTTACTTTTTATTAAATTTTCATCAGAACAACAACCTATTTAGACAAAAATTAATAAAAATTTGCTTAAAAATCAACGCAATTTCTATTGATTTTAGCAAGCAAATGTTTAAATTCATTTGCTCAACGTTAGAAAGTGAGAAGATAACCATTTGCTTTGTGTCTTGAACTGTAGAGCCGAAGTTCCTCTATCGAACTTACATATCAGAATGAAATTTTTATTGGAACTACATTGCATTGTTATACATATTTCGTGTTTAATCGGAGACGCGTTTAATGGTTACATCGAATGAGATAATTTCTAGTGCGACTTCTTTTATCATTTTATAAACATCTTGTATGATTGAGCTTTCAATTGCAATAAATATTTAGATTAGACACAGAGAAGATATTGGAGCTCATTTTTATCAATTAAATGCTTTTTCACTATCAAGCAGATGAGTCAAAAGATTATTGTTTCCAACTGTGACAGTTGTTTTTTTTCTTCTATGCTTTGTTTTTTGATTTATACTGCCATTAAAATCAAGCCTGCCAGAACTGAAAAATCAGGAAAAAATCATCTCTTGAAATCAGATTTTTTTATGGAGAGAAAAATCAAAAAATCAATAGTTTTCTAGTCAAATCAAAAGATTTAGTAGACCTGGTGATAATATAAGCAAAAATAAGAAAACGAATAGATAGACAGCAACGAGACGGTAATCTTCTTTTTCATTTTTTCTTTTATATGAAAGAATATCGATACTCAACAATCACTCACTATATGCAGTTCGACGCAAGAGATAATATTAATCAATAGATAGGCTAGTATAGTTGTTTTGCACATACTGGAACTAAATATGTGTTCATTATTTCATATATCATCCTTTCGATTTGATTCCACGTAATTTTAATCTTGAATTTTTTTAAATCAGAGAAGCAAGAAATAAGAAGCATTGCAATATCTTTGCTATATTCATGTCTATTCTGAGGTTACTACAGGTAATTTATGTTGGAAATAAAATATGTTTATCTGCAAAAAAAAACGTATTTTTGATTAATTTGAATAAAACTGATTTAATCTAAAAAAAAAACTCAGCTTTTTCTTCTTTGGATTATGTACTATTTCATGAGAAAAAGAATATCAGTAGCTCGTCGTTTTCATTCTTGCACACTAAATACTCACTTTGGACTTTGCTGTTGAATAGGCATGGGAACTTAAACAGATGGGACTCTTCGTCCGATAAAAGGAACGGCAATCGATGTGCTCCGTGATTTGAAGTGCAAACGAAAGAGGGCAATAAGATGCAGCATTTTAGTTTTATTTTCGTTTTCTTGCTGACGCTGATAGCTCAAGTTAGAGCACAAATAAGCGACAACAACGATGAGCGTACCTGGTCCACGTCTATGGGCAATGCTCGCAACACTCGTCGTCTTATTCCATCGTTGTCCACCGAGTACAATGACAGCACATGGAAATTTGTATTCAATTCATCTTCACAAGATACGACAGTGTTTGGCACAGGTGTAGGCATAAATGGCGATCTCTATCTCTTTGTGAGTGATTCACGATATTCTTCAGGTATTACACTTCGAAGCAAAACCTCTTTTATTGAATTTTCTTTTCTTTTCTTATTATAATTTAGCTGATTATATGCTCTGTCTCACTTCAAATGGAGATGTTCGTTGGAAGATGTATATTGAATCAGTACCACGCATGATTAATGTCGGCGTGTCGAACATTGTCTCGGATCGAGAAAATAATATTCTTTTCTATACATCGTCATGGGCCGATAGTGGATCATATATGGCTAAAATGTGTCGAGTCTTCTATCCTCAAACTCGTCATCCTGCTCAAGAATGTGTGAACATCGCTAAACTTTTCGTTTCTTTTTTATCACCACTTGCGTTAAATACAAAAGCAAATATTCTGATGACTACAGTTAACGAAAATGTGCCGGCTGCTTTCAATGCAACTACATTTGAAATGATTTGGAGTAATCTAGAAATGATGGGTTCTGATCCGTCTGCCGACTACAAAAATGATCCACTCACAGGCGATGTCTATTGGATTGGAGGTGACGATAACATGCGTAAGATGAATTCAACTGGCACTCGTCTATTTGAAAATGATACAAATTCGGGTGGTAATAGACAATTTGCTCTCGATAGTCGACGTCAAAAAATGGTGCGAGCATGGCAAAATTTATCCGATCATGAATGGCCTCTTATTGTCTCGGCATGGGATGTTGGAAGTACAGAATTACGTGAGCAATGGCAATGGAAGAATACGGTTATTAATAGCACGAACAATGATTGTACTCCACCAGTGATCGATGATCTATACGGTTTTACCTACTTTGTCAACTTACCCTATGCTATTGCCCTTGATACTAATAGTGGCTATCGTAAATGGCAAACTCAACTGATAACGAACGATGAAATAAACCAATTGGATCTTGTTTCTGAATGTATTGCATTCAATGGCCAAAAACGAATCATTTATGTTCTTGTCAAATCAACTAAAGTCTCTTCAACTCTCTTTCTCGTTGCTGTACACGCTGATACTGGTAAAATCCTTCGACGAATGGAAGTGTTACAGAAAGCAACGAATGGCGAGGAATATAAGAAACTTACTATACCATTCTGTCCTATTCTTATTGGTAATGAACTGGTCTATATCTCGTGGTTGTCAGGTGACTATCCTGAATTGGTTCCATTGACAGTAGTTGGCATGCCACAGTTGTCTTAGTTTAATATATCGATTCAGATTGATTCTCATACAAGACATGATGATTGTGTATTCGTTTTTTTGTTCTTTTCGTATTAGGTGAATCAATCGAAAAACAGACTGACCTCTATCTCATGATAAGAAAAAGCTAAGTTCTATCTACTGATCTCAACTTTTGCTTTTCAGCAATCAATTAAGTCGAAAATTAAATCAAAATTGAAGTGATGTGCTTGTAAATAAGGACTAAAGAAATGAAGAGTTAAATTTGCCGATGCGTTTTTCAACCATAATGATTAATCATGAGAATATAATATTCTCCAACATCGCTAAGTTCTAGTTTATTATTGTATATATCGGCAATAAGTGTTTCAGTTAAATAATTATATTGAAATAATCTTGTACAATACAGAGAAAGATACTGAGCACGAATATGTTGACTAAAATGAGATCTATGATTGAATTCAAATAAGTTGGCTGAGATCTGAACTATTTATACAGTTAATAATGAATCATTTATTATGTTAAATTCAAATGACAAACATGATATAATTTATGTATTTTTTTAAAGATATTTTATATTGATATCTACAAGTATTAGTAAAGAAAGTTTTTTATACTGCACTTTCACTATTTTCACTAGCTAAATCCGATTCAAGTCCATTTTGTGTATATTGTTCCGTAACACTCGCTAAGGTTGGTAGAAGATCCATTGCACTTGAAGTAGACGCACTTTTTATGTATTTTCGTCGTTTAGAGTGCCAAAAACCATAGGAAAAATAAATAATT